TGTATGCCGGCCGTGAAAGCCTTCGACAAGACAGACTTTCTATTTAAAGGTTTTGGAGTCAAATGAAGAATCTGGCTTTCTTGTTCTCAGTATAGTTATTTCAGGCCATTTCTTCATTTCCAGAGGAAAAGAAGTACTGGTAAGTACTGACTTTTATATATTTTTGTTTCTTAAGCATGTCCTTTCTCATTGGTATAACGCTTTTTATTAAAGGAACGTTAAAACAATTTCAGTTAGTAAGTGAATTAAGTTAGCATAGTTCCCAGGCACTGTAATAACTTATATGAATAGAATTTATACACAAACTCTAATCTTAGAGCCAGTCAACAAAATTTTGACTGCCTTCTCCTATGATGTGGTAGAATTTACCTCCTGAAAGCTTTGTGATTGACATTAAAAAGTTCTGTCAGCATGATGCTTCTATAACAGAATTTCATAAGCAATGACAGTGAAGGAGCTTTAAAAGGAGACAAAAAAAAAGAGAGAGAAGAATAGCTTAATCAATGGATACTAAGGTTAATAATCTGTAGTTGGAAGATGTTTGTTTTATCTAGTTAAGTGTTGCTGTAAACACAAATTCATTATATTTGGATAGTGTTAGAAAAAAAAAAAGATGAAACTAGTAAGCCAAATGATAAATATAACCATTTTAAAAACCTAGCCTGTAGATATATTATTACCTGTGACTGATTCTCTGACACTAACTAAGCATGAAAGGCTGGTGATCTGCTTAATCAAAAGTCATTAATATACAAGGCAATTGCCAAAGTTTGATCATTCAAGCACAGAGTCATTACACATCCTGAGAATATGAGCTTTCATTAAAAATGTTTTGAAGCACATAGGTTATTTCAATTTTCTGTTCCTACACAAAAAACTATCTGCCCATCATCATCATCATCATCATCATCATCATCATCATCATCATCATCCCCTTTTTGAAAAACTGTAAATAATAATAAGATATATTAAAACTGTGACAAATAATTTTCAATTTATAGTAGGAAATATCATTTTAGCAGGTTTTATCATTTCTCACTTTTTTTAGAAGTGTCTTACTAATTTTCTTAAATGTGCTCATATATTAATAATTCCAATGTTTGCAGCAGTATTATTTCACTTAAATTATACCCAATTTTCAAAGCTGCTTCTGTGTGTGAGTTTTGCATTTATTTTAGGAAGGATTTTCATTAATCGGTGCTTCTCAGTGGCTAAAGGTAGTCCGAAAAGCAGATTGCATGTTAGTTGGTTCAAAATTAAAGGTATGCTAATTCATACACAACATTTTACTTTAAACATTCTTTCATTTATACGTTTCTTTGAATGATTCCTCTCCAATTGGCCAGATTATTTTTTCCTCATTTTTTTACTTGAATTGTTTTCATTTACTAAAATTAGGCAAGGCATGTGTATGATGTAAGTACTTTAAAATTCTGAACAGGATTCTTGTATCATTGGATTGTAGAGTGAATAATGGCAGCTTTGCAATGCAGGTTTGGAGGAGAATGAGGAAATGATGCCTGGTGAGGAAAGGGTGATTTGATCAAACTTCTATAAAAACTTGAGATGCTCATACTAGGCAGGGATAGTCTTTGGATATACTGGAGCTTTTTTTTCTGTTGTGTATTAGTTTCCTTACCTTTGGAGGTAAAACCTATTTTTCCATACAGGTAGTCCTCACTTAACAACCCTAACTGGGATTGGCAACTCCACTGCTAAGAGAAGCAGTAGCTAAGTCGGAAATCACTTTGACCGCAACTGTGCTTTCCAATTGGAAAGAGACAAGACTATTCAGTTTCACACCTTTGGCTTTTGTTTGCCTTCTAACCCTTTGAAATGCTTTACTGTACTGCCCGCTTACTGTCTTGTACACATCAAAAGCAATGCACATTGCTTTCAATGTGTAGAAGAGCAAACAGCTTACTCTCTTGCAATCCCTTCCTGTCCAATCTCTCTGCTCTGTGGGGCAGAGGGAAGAGTCAGGCAAAGGAAAAATTGCCTACAAAAACTATTTGCATTTTTTTCTTCCCCCACCCCAACCCCGCAGGATGGAGAGTTTGAAAAGGAGGAGATTTCAAGAGAGTACTGTAATTGTTTATATACCACACCAATGGCTTCCAGCCCAGGCTTGCTGGCGCAATCTCATTTCTTTCGATGTGTAGAACAGCAAACAGCTTATTCTCTTGCAATCCCTTCCTCTCCAATTTCTCTACTCTGCAAAGGGGGAGAAAAAGAAAACACTACAGGTCAGACACAGGACAATGCGTACTGACTGTAATGCTGATCATGTGACTGAGGGACGCTGCAAAGGTCATAAATGGTTGTAAATTGACTGTAAAGTTATTTTTTCAGTATCATTATAACAACAAACGGTTGCTAAATGAATGGTCAGTAAGCAAGGACTAGCTGTAAATGAAGATTGTATAAATCCAATGTTCAGGATCTGAAATTTGAATAGATAAGTTTCCAGTTCTCAGTATCTCCAAAAGACCAATGAGAAATCTATTTTGACCACAGTGTCAAAGAAGGTAACATTGTATTTAAGAGACCAGGACATACCAAAGTTCTCCTGTTTCACTTTGTACACCAAAGCCAAATTTTCCCATTATTCTAGATGCTATGTTACTTCTAACTTTAGCATTCCTGCCTTCTTTCATTAGACTGATACCTTTTTGTGTGTGTGTGGGGGGGGAGGGAGTTGTGTGGACAAGATATTGCTATAATATCACATATAGTCACCATGAGATGTACAGTGAAATCTCATGAAGACAGAAGTATTTGATTCAGTAAAATGCTATCTTAAGTTATAATAGTTAAAATGTAATAAAAGCAATAGTAATCCTTTATAAGAAAATTCAAGAGATCACCAAATCAACAAGGAAAAATTAAAAGAATAACTTCTAAAAAATGAGCTATTGGTTAGAAATTCAACTTGCTTTTTAGAATACATAGAAAAAGATAGTTGCATAAAGCTGAAGTATGTTATGGCATTAGTTTAAGAAATGTTCCTGTAATTATTGAGACAAATATGCAGCAATAATCAAATATAGTTTTATTTTCTGTTTGTGAATTCAATCTAGACCAAACATCGTATGTTCCGTATACAGTTTACTGGAGACTCCAAAGCTCAGGCAGAAGAGCACTGCCATAACTGCCTGCAGAAACTAGCTGAGTATATTCCAATTCAAGTAACAGGTGCAATAAGACAGGAACTACGCCAAGGCCACAGTCTGCTTCTCACTGATGAAAGTCAACTGAAAGATATGGAACAAAATGTACCAGTACAACATGCTGTAAGCTGATGAATATATGTGGAAGATGATTGGGCAGAGAAATGAAAAACGATTTCCTGCCATATTGATTTGGTATTATAGTTTATTCTATAAAATGAAAACAGCAAAATTGTTTAACAAAAATGTTTTGTTTTGAAATTACTTGTTTTCAGTCAGTCCAGGAAGGAACAGATTGCTTGAATGCATTTTAAAGTTTGTTTATGTTCTCTTTCATTCATATATTATATATATATATAAATTAATAGTGTAAGGTCCAAATTTCAGTGAATGCCAACCTATACACTGTGTTCATTCAAAACTCTTGATAAAGTTCTGTATAGTCCCATTTTTCTTCCAAGTATATTTCTCTTTGCTATTCTTATATTATGGAAGAAAACTATAACCTCTTATTTTATTTACTGTAGTGTATGTATTTTAAAGTGCTTAAATAGGAAAGGAGAAATATTCCAATTTTTTAATGCCTTCTTGGTAGGGTTTCTTTCTTTTTTCTTTTTTGCCTTGTATCTTTTATGAATTTATTTTAAACACTTTCTAGGTTGTAAATCTACCTCCAATACGTGGAACAGTGTCTGTAGCAGAGCTGGCGCAGGTATTCCTAATACATTTCTCTGGTAGAAATAAAAGGCTAATTTACTACTGTAGAAAAGTATAATTTTTCAGAAGCCAAAGGTTTCTTACTTTGAAGGTATTTCAGATTTATAAGAGAAAGCATTTGAAGATGCAACTAAACCAAAACTCGTAAGTGAAAACCTATACACAGATGGCCCTTGTTATTTATAGAGGTTATGTTCCAGCCAATTAGCCATGGTTAATAAAACTGTGGGTACTGAGATCATTTAAAAAATACTTTATAAACATGCAAAAATCTACCCTCCACTTTGCACATACACAAAATAACCAAAAACAAACTAAAATCAACACATATGCAAAAACTTTCACCATAGATAGCAAGACCTGATTTTTTGTCATGGTATTAATATATTATAATGTATTGTCATTCTTAACTGGTTACTCAATTATTTTGAAAAAATTATTTAAAATGCAAAATGAAAATTCTGTTGCATTTGGAAGTAAATTTTATTTATTGATTGATTTACTTCATTTATAAAGTTGCCAATTTTACTTTTATGTGACTCTTGGTGGCTTAGAATAAAACAAATAAAAATACAAAATACATAATATAAAACAAAAATAAAAATACATAGCAACTGGGCACAATCTAATCCATTATCCATACAACCAGGAGATGAGCTCTAGCCCACACCAGGGCCCCAGGCTAGAGAACAAAGCCAGGTTTTCAAGACCTTACAAAAGGCCAACAGGGATGGGGCCAAACTAATCTCAGGGGGAATGATATTCCAAAGGGCAGGTAGCCATGGCAGAAAAGGCTTTCCTCCTGGGCCCCGCCAGCCAACAATCCTTAGCTGTTGGTACCCAGAGCATGCCCTTCCTGCCAGATTGGATAGGACAGGTAGAAACAATTGGGGAGAGAGAGTCCCCCAAGTAACCCAGTCCTAAACTATGAAGGGCTTTAAATGTGACAACCAGACCTTTTAATTGCACCCAGAAGTATACTAGAAGCCAATGGAGCTCATGGAGCAGTGGTGTCACATGCTGAGGAACTGGCACCAGTAACTGCCTGTGCCGCTGCATTTTGCATCAGTTAAAGCTTGTGAATATTCTTCAAGGGCAGCCCCATGTAAAGTGCATTGAATAGTCCAATTTGAGGTCACAAGGGCATGAGTGACCATGAGCAGGGTGCCCTGGTCCAGGAAAGGGTGCAACTGACGCCCAGCTCCAAGCTGTGCAAAGGCCCTCCAAGCCACAGCTGCCATCTGCTCTTCAAGAGCCATGAGTCCAGGAGGACCCCCAGATTGCTAACTGATTCTGTCTGGGGCAGTACCACCCCATCCAGAACCAAATATGGAAGGTCCTTGGAATGAGGAGGTCCAAAAACCCAGAGCCACTTGGTCTAGCTTGGGTTGAGCTAGGACCTGTTGAGCCCCATCCATGCCCCCATAGCCTGCAGGTACTAAGACAGAACCTCCACAGTGTCACTCAGATGATACCTCACCCCAAACTGTCAGATGACCTCACAACCTCATGTAGATGTTAAACAGGAGGGGAGAGAGTACTGAGCCCTGAGGCACCCCAGAAAGTAGGGACCATCAGCTGGATCTCTCACCTCATCAACGCCAACTGGAACTGATCCTGGAGGAAGGAGGAGAACAAGCCCAACACCATGCCACCTACCCACAACTCCTAGAACCAGTCCAGAAGGATACCATAATTGATGGTATCAAAAGCTGCTGAGAGGTCAAGGAGAGCAAGGTTGAATGTACCACCCCACTCCCGCTCCTGCCAGAGGTCATCCAAGAGTGCAATCAATGCCATCTCAGTCCCATACCCAGGCCTGAACCCTGACTGAAAGGGGTCCAGATAATCCACTTCTTCCAGAGTCCTCTGAAGCTGTAATGCAACCACCTTCTATACAACCTTCCCTAGAAAGGGTAGGTTGGAAACTGAATGAAAATTGTCCAGAATAGTAAATTAAATATCAAGATAGAGAAACCTTATTCTGATTAAGCATGTATAGGAGATTCTTACTAAGAAAAAAAAGTAAATTTAGCTACAATTTATGTCTTCTAGAGAGAGAATTAATTGTGCAAAGTCATGTTGATTAAAAAAATTAGCAGAAATCTATTTCATCTTAAACTGCTAGGAATTTTTAAAGGAAATTGACTATTGTGTTTTCTTCTGCAGTATTTGCTGATATCAGATGCTCAACGTCCTCTTGCATATCAACAATCCACATGGAGTCCTGAAGATTTAAGCAGTTTTATTCGCTTGTGCCTATTGGATCAACACTTCCCAGCATTTGTAGAAGAAGTAGAGAAACAGCTAAAAAAACTTATAGATGGCTAAAAAGCAAAATATTTAAAATGTAATAGTTAAAAGATCATCCATACTATTGCTGATTGTTAGTTTCTGCAGTTAACTTACTATAGATTCACTACCCCCTTAATTTGCATTAAGATTTGAATATGTGTTATGCTAGCTCTTACAAGCCAAAAGGCTATATTATGCTCTGTTTTACCAAGGGTTTTCAGATACGTAATATATATATATTAGTGTAACAGCTGCACCAAATTGTTTTATATACAAACTAGTATTTTGTATTAATGAACTAAACCATAATTTGTTTATTTATTTCTGATTAATTTGTGATTCTATCTATGCTATATATATCCAGTAAGGTGGAGCAGCTCAACTCCTTATATTTTTATAGTAATAAAGAATTCAACTACTTTCACCATTATAATGGCTTTAAAGCACTTCATGAAATGTGTTTGGAATTGTTCAACATAGCATTTACATTAAAAATACTTCCTCTTAAAAAAAAGTGCATTAGTTTTTCCATCTGTATTAATGTGAATAATTGGAATGTTTAAAACGTGTTAAGTTAGCAACTGGGGTTCTTTTTTTCAGATAAAAGATAGCCTGAAACATTTTAAACTGCTGATCATGTGAGGAATATATTAAAACTCATAACAAATCCAGGGTTCACAGTTCTCTCCTCTCCCAAAAGAACTCCAATTGCTCTATAGTCAACTGAAGTTAATGAAACCTTGCCCTTATTTGTTGCAAATTAGAATGCTGTAAGTCAATTGACTTGAATATTTCATTCAGAGACATCACAGAAAAATAAATAACCGAATACAAAGGAGGGAACAATGAAGAATAGCAGGCAGGTCAAGCTGCATGGGACCCAAAACCAGTTTTCATCCCTTACAATAAATGACAAATTAAAATAGACAGAAATAGCTACTTTACCCTGGTCCTGTTTTGGTGCAACAAATGATGACCATCCAAGTAATGACGAATAGTCCTTCCCCTTACTTTGTCATGCTAGTGCCGTAAGTAAACAGTTGGTCTCTGTGCTTACAGTATGATTGTCTGCAGTGGTAAACCAGCATTGCATATGATCACTCACATGTGAGCCAGGTGAGCACCATGTATAGAGCAAAGCTCTTCATTGCATATATTTACATGGTAAACTTGCATATATTCATTTATATCACTGACATAATTAGGAGAGACATAGGGTTGCTAACTGCTTATATTGGGTAGAACACATGGTAGTAATGATGATGGGCACAATAAGTTGTTGTTTGTGGGAAAAATAAAATCCTCTTGATTCTCAGCACAAAATGTGACAAATAATCATCTGTAATTCCTCTTTCACAACTTGCATTGGTCCTCCCATGTCTAAAAATAATGAAAAATGCAAATTGGCACTATTTTTTTGAATTTGTAACAGCTTAAAATGGATATAAAATAAATAAGTCTTTACAACATTCTGTTGTATAGGCTTACAACCAAAATTGTAACAGATAACAAGATAACAACACGGCCTCATAAATGTCCCCAGTTAACTGAAATTAATTTTATAAATTAATCGTCTTTTATAAAATAAGAAAATATTTCATATACCAGACCTCAACTGACAGCTGCAGAATGTTTCTTTTCTCATCCCTGGTAGTTGCAACAAGGTCCCACCTATAAAAGTAGAGGCTTCCAGAACAGGAAGCATGCTTTTAGACCCCTCATTGTAGATGTGCAGGCAATTAATATTTCTCCAAGGTGATCAAAAAGGCTCAAGGGCCAAACTACAAAGTTATGCCTATGAAACATATATCTCTAATTTTGATTTGGGCTGTCCCATTTTTTAGTAAGTTCTATCTATTTATATGAGGTTGGTTTGTTTCTTTTATCTTTCTCCAAAAACCACAGATTATATTCAGATATAGATTTCAAGGCATATCTTCACTGACCCTTTAAGCTGTTCCTGTCCTGTGCTCAGGGCAGCTTAAATCTAAGAAAAACCTGTCCAGACTGAGATGGCTTGGCAACATTTTGACAAGGATACAGTCCAGATTGCAGATTACCATAGCACCTCATTGGATAATTTCCCTGTTCCCACCCATTCCTGTCATTTCAACTTTTTGTCCTCCATGTGGGTGGAAATGTGTGCCTGACAAAACTCTTTATTCAGCTCACTATTTTATGCCTCATGTTACCCCCAGGCAGCAGTCATGGAGGATGCAACTTGTTTTGAAGTTTCGCAAGGGAAGCCTCTATTGTGCTGTTTTTAAGGGGAAAAAAACCCTAAACCAGTAGTTCAGCTTAGTGAAGTGATCCATTGCTGAAATCACAGGTGGGTAAAAATTTGCATTTCAGCCCTTCAATGGTTAAGTTCTTTAAAAAAGTGCCACACTCAATTGACAAATGATTGCAAGTTGAACATCAAGACACAAATTGTGCAGCAGGGTGGTGACCATGGACCTGGGTGAGGGGAAATTTCTGGCACTCTCACACCAGCCAATTAACTGGTGGTTTGCCTTGAACAAACTAAAGTGCACCAGCTAAACCACATGGCAGCACTTGAGGGAACATAGCATGAAAACACTTTGAAAGCAGAGCAAGAGCATGTACCCAGAAATTGCATTCATGTTAGCTGGGTAGAATTGAGAACAGGACAATGTTATCCCTTCCTGCCTTCCAAAAATGCCTGCTGACCTACTCTGGAGGTGGGAACAACCTGACTGTAAATAAGCCCTCAGTCCCAACAAAGTGGGAATTTAACTTGACGGTTAGCAGGTCTCTCAAATCATTGTGGCTCACGGAACAGAGGGAAACATTCCTCTGTTTCTCACCTTAATAAACATTGGTTTAAGTTGTCAAACATATTCTTTATTTTATTTGAATAAAATAAAGAAATAATTTAGTTATTTGATCAGTGATTTGTAAGTCTTTTTTTGAAAAAGGATATTGGGTCCTTTATAAGAAACAGAAAATATTATAAGTAGAAGAGATTCTGTCTAGGAATTTTTGTAAATAGAATTGAACTCCTTTCTAATTTGGAAAGAGCTGCCACAATATTATACTTTGTTCTCCCAATTAGCGGAATATACTGTATATCCCTGCAAACATAATGTATAATATTGTCAAAGGCTTTCATGGCTGGAATACGATGGCTGGTGTGGGTCTTCCGGGCTGTGTG